AATATCATGCGGCGCTATTTGAAAAGAGAAGGATGTTTCTCCAGGTGTCGGCCAACAATCCCAAGGTAAATGTACAGGGTTTTCACAACGTCCTGTTAACCGCAATCTTTTTTTCCACAGTGCACTGACAACAACAGAATCATGTGGAACAATGATGATAATTGTATTGAGAAGTACTTGATTGTATTCAGTACAAAAGCGCTTAACTGTATTTAAACGTCCAGGATCGTTGTGACCTCTCAAATGGATTTTACGTGGACTGTGTGCTTTTGTAGCTGAAGATGCCCTTGGGGCGTCCTCACGACATGAATAGCACTATATAAATGCAATTTCTTGTTGTTGCAAAATTGGCTGCTGTGTTTGCAACAGAAAAAACATTGCACTAGGCAAGGAAGATTCGCTCAGAGATTGGAGTGGCTTTGATGTGATTGTGATGTTAAATGCAAGGATTATTATTGTAAGACACTGTAAAAAGATAAGTTCTTTCATATAGGTGAAGTGGGATTGCTTTTGGGCAGCTATCAATATGGTTCCTCTGGGACGACAGCAAATAGGTTGTAAACAAAAATGTATTGCCTTTCACGGATCATTTAGCAGAATTCAAAAATATCATCGTTGGATGTCTTTGGATTCTGCCTCCCTCCCATACAAACACACACACATGCACACTCAAACACAGTCAAACAGGTATACACAAACACACATATACACACATACACACGAGCACAGAGAAACATTTACACGCACAACAAGATTACATTTGTATAGCGTATATGTATATGTGAAAGGTCACATCGGGAGGACGTCCCAAGGCGCTGGATAATGTATAGGACCCGAGCTGGGGTCAGGATCCGGAAGCGTGGAGGGCGGGGGAGGGACCGAGGGAATGGTCAAAGATGAGGGTCTTGAGATGGATCTTGAAGGAGGCAAGGGAGGGGATGAGATAGAGGAATTGCAGGATGGAGTTCCAGAGCATGGGGACAGAGTGGCAGAAGGTCTGCCCGCCAATGGTGAGGTGGGCGAGGCAGGGGATGTGAAGCAGGCTGGAACCAACTGAGGGGAGAGAGTAGGCAGGTTGGTAGGGGTTAGAAGGTTGCAAAGGTAGGGGGAAGCACGGGCATGGAGAGTTTTGAAGGTGAGGACCAGAATCTTGAAGTGTATCCTCTGTTTGATGAGAAGCCAGTGGAGTCGGGCGAAGATGGGGTTGATAGGCTCGCGGAGCCTGGTGCGGGAGAGGACACGGGCAGCGGAGTTCTAAATGATCTGCAGGCTATGGAGGGAGGAGTTGGGACGCCGACAATCAAGACTTTGCATAGTCGGGCCTGGATGTTATGAATTTGTGTGAGAGGTTCTCGGTGGCCTGTGGTGTGAGATAGTGGCGGAGCCGGGTGATGTTGCAGAGGTGGGGGAAGGCAAAGCAGGAGATGGCACTGATGTGGGGTAGTTGAGGATCAAACAAGACCCCATGGTTCCGGACTGGCTTAGCAAGGAGGAGTTGGCATTCATGGATGGTGATGATATCAGCGCCTGAGGTGTGGAGGCGCTGATGGGAATCAATCAGGAGAGCCTGAGTCTTGTTGACGTTCAACTGAAGAAAGTTAACTCTCATCCAGGACTTGATGTCTGACAGACATTCTGTCAGGACAGCAGTGGCCCTGGAGTCAAGGGTAGAGGCAGAGAGATAGAGTTGGGTGTCATCCGCATACATGTGTAAATTGACTCTATGTCTGCGGATGATGTCACACAAACACAACATAGACACACACGTACAAACGAAACGATAAGGGTTAAGTATACACACACAAACACTCATGAACAAACACAACATACATTCACAGACATTCATGCATAACAACACACACGCAGGTCCACAAACATTGTGTGGATACACGTACATACGTTATAAACGTTGCAGTACCAGCGTTTGACCACCAGGTGTCATGGCATTGTATTTCTTGGACACACAGAAGACCTTAACTAAAGTCTTCTGTTCATTGGCTTAAAATGATTGTCTTAACGTTTAGGATAAGATGGTTTGGGATTTAACACTATTACATTCACCATTAATTGAGAAGGCAGTAAACAATGAGAACTGAGGAAAATTGGGTTAAAAATTAAGACAACACTCCAACACGGTTTTCCAAAATTCCTCACGATCTTAAACTTTAAGATCACGTTCCTAAAAATAGGAACATGAGAAATTTAAGAACCAACAGTGAGGGAATGTCACAGTTGTGCTGCTTTGGCTCCCAGAGGCCTAATAATTGGACACTGGAATCCAAAACCATTCCTAACCAGTTTTTCTGCAATAATAATCCTTGCATTTTATACGCCTAATGTTGAAACGTCTCAAAGTGTAGTGACTGTGTACTCTGCAGGCAAACGCAGACCCAATTTACACAAAGCACAAACAGCCGTGAATTGAATGGACAATTTTAACTGGGGGTCTGTTAGCCAGGACACCAGGAGATAATCCCTTCTCTGTTCGAGTAGTGCAGTGGGGTCTTTAACATCCACCTGAAAAAAGTATAGACGGGAGCTTGGTTAAAGAATTGATCTGAAAGGCGATAGCTCTGACAATGCAGTGCTCCCCCCCAGCAATGCACTGGAGTGCCAGCTTGGGCTATGAGTTCAAATTCCCAGAAGTGAGACTGCTGCCAACTAAACCAGGTGACATCTAGCTCACGTTGAGCGATTGGGAGTGGGAAAATAATATGTATTCTCACTTCAAACCCTGCAAAAGTTCTGCTGAAATGTAAACTAAGCCCCTTTACACAGTGTTCAGCTAAACTGCTGAATCAGCGAACACCAGCCTGCTTCATAGCCCCTATCCTACCTGCCCCCCCATCAGCGGGTGAGCTTTCAACCATTCTGCCCTTGCTCTCTGGAACTCCATCATAAGAGTCTGTCCACCTCCCTCCCTCCTTCCCTCCCTTCCTCCCTCCTAAAGCCTGTCTTAATACCTTTCTGTTCAACAAGGCTTTTTGTCACCTCCACCTTACTTGGATCCTCCCCTCAATCTCCCGACCTTTTCTGTGAAGCGCTTAGAAACATCCTCCTGACATGAAAGGCGTTGAGTAAATGCTAAATTATTGTTGTTGCAGCCAGCGCTGAATGCCAGTTCATTTTTAGACGTCAATAGAGAGCTTGTGACTAACATTTACAAGTCAGTCAGCTTTTGTTTAAGAACTGCAGAAAACCAGCTTCCAGATTAATCCTGGGCCTTGAGATGTTTGCACAATTCGGGGTGATCTTTAAATTGTGAGGCAGACTTTTATTTTGGTGTCTGACACATGCGGATACTCATCACTATGTTTAAGAGTCTCCAAACCAAACTGAGAATTCCATGCATCCCATCTGCACATGGAAATCCCAGCGATAGACTGTTGGAATGGAATGCTTTCTCTCCCTGGAGGGAGGTATCCTGCTTACCTAATTCCGGAAAGAATTAGCGCAGGCTTGCAAGAGCCTGCGGACTTTTACGGGCTAGGTAGAATTTAGGTTCTTTGAATCGCTTCCACATGGGCTCTTTAAAAACATGAGAAAGTTTAAGGTCCTTCCCAGGAGAACCTGTCAAAGAAATTGTTTTCATCTTAAACGTTTCCGAAATCAGCTAAGATCAAACAGAATTTGCCCTGCACCCGATGGATTTTGGTTTATTCCACAATTAATAGCAATCCTTGCATTTTATATAGCGCCTTATCACATTACTGAGACACCTTAAAGCACAGGATATACTGTAAAGTGGATTGACTGTATTTTGTGGATGTAACGTGGCAGCCAATTGCACACAATTGGTTACTAATCATTGTAATTCAGGAGAAGTGAGGAGGAGGGGAGGCCTTGGAATAAAATTACTAGTCCAATCAAAGTTTTTTTGTAACACTTACGCAGTTGCTTTCATGTGGAAATCACCTTTGATCAATTCTAACTGTGGAGCTTCGATCGATTGGGTCGAAGATGGAATCCGCATGGCCATTTTTGGGAGCTCACGATGGGCCTTTAAAATGATGGTGGGTTGCGGAGGGTGGTGGGGAGGGGCGGTTAGGGATTAAAGGATTAAATCCATCAAAGAGAAGCAACGGGAACACAGAACTGGGAATCGACAGCAAAGATTGTCTGTCGTGAAATGAAAGAGAATTGGAAATTGCTCTTTTACGTCAAGTCTGCATCTCAGTCTATGGATGAAACAACAATAACTGGCATTTATATAGAGAACATCACGCAGGGTAGCATCTCGCAGGGCGTTACACCGCTCAACAAATCATCGGCGCCTGGTTTTCCTTGAAATAAATTGGCGCAACAAGAGCTGTTGTGTCTATTGCTGGGACAGTGGTACCTAGGACTCAGCTGTCACTCTCTGGATCTTTCTGCAGGTCAAAAGAGCGTAGGGGAGGGAAAGACTAAATGGGAAGCTCATTCCGGGCAGTAATTTAGACATTAAACACAAGTAAGTTTTACACTTAACAGCACCTTTCATGTCGGGAACAAGTCCCAACGGCTTTATATACGAAGCAAGGAATGGGGAAGGGGGGGGTTGGTGGGAGTTGAAGAATCAGAAGGTGGCTGGACGGTGGGTGGGGGAATGAAGATGACCGAATGCCAGATCAAAGAGGTAAGTCTTGTGGCGGCCTTTGAAAGTGGGAAGGGATGGAGGGAGTGGGGTGGGGGAGGGTAGGGGGCGAGTAAGGGGGATGGAGGTACAGAGGGTGGAGGCAGAATGGCTGATGGTGGGGCAGATTGGGCGAGGGTGGGGGAAGAGGTGGGAGAACAGGGATGTGAAGCAGGTCGGACGAGACGGAATTGCAAATGGCGTCCGCAATCATCTACACTGCAAAACGAATCGATAGACACAGGTTTTAACATTACCTCCACCCCACCAACCTCCCTCACCCTCCACTCCAGCCCGGGGCTCTCTTGGGAGTGCTAATCCACAGCAGAGGTGGATAGTTCCCGTTATTGGGAGGGGAGCGCAGCCAAAGGGAAAAGAAAGATGTTCCTCAGGAGCTGGTGCTGTGTCTTCGGGTGAAGGCTGGTCGCAAGCCTCTTCTCGATGCCAGTGAGCTCACCCCATGGCAGGTATGACAACACTGGGTCCTTATTGTGGCCACCACACAGCGATCCAACTTCTTCAGAGTGAGGCAGAATTTGGCCGACATCCTGTCCCTTACACAGGGGGCACCTGAAAAACACATAGGCTCAGCGTTACCCAATGGAATCGGCACTAATCCGAGTTAAGAAACTACAGAAAACTGACTACAAATTTGAGACTGAATTCAACGATTTGCCGATTTCTGCAAGAGTGTTCCGAGACCTTATCCTGCATGAAGCTCACTGTATAAATGCAAGTTCCTGTTGACAGAAAGAATGAAAAATAAACTTTATAACCTACTGGGATTTTACTCAAATGGGATTGCCAACATGCAAATCAACTCTGAATTTCTCAATGGACAAATTTCCTCTTTGACCAATGTTGCAAAATGTGCATTCTTGCTTTGCGACAAGAAGTTGCATTTATATGGATGCCTTCATGCTGGGAACAATTTCAGAGCGCTTAACATGTCCAAATGCTTCCGATTTTTAATCATAAGTCTTTGAGGAAGCATTCCACCAGGGTCTACATTTCACTCTATTTATGTTGTAACAGATCAGAGCTGCGAGAATTTGGCAAATTGTTCAATTCATTCCACACTTTGATTCTTCAAGAAATCGCAGAAGTCCAGCTTCAAGATGGAGGCTGTGGTTAACTTTGCCAAATCCTGGATGCTCCAAAATAATAACAATAATCGTGGCGTTTAATATAGTGCCTTTCATGTCAGGAGGACGGCTGAAGGATATACTGTAAAATGCTGTGACTGTACTTTCCAGGTAAACTCAACAGCACAATTTTACGCACCGCAATATCCTACAAACAGCCGTGAAGTGATTGATCAGTTTTATCTGTGGGTGCTGGCTAGGACACCGGGAGAAACTGCCTTCTCTTTTTGAATAGTGCATGGGATCTTTAAAGTCCACCTGAACAGGCAGATGGGCCCTCGGTTTAATGTCTCATTCAAAGAACACTTGCTTAGAAAGTTGTTGAATCAGGATGATGCAGACAATTAGTTATCAAGGACAACAACATCTTGCATGTATGTAGCACTCTCATCAAGAATGTTGACAGGCTTTCAATTTGACAAATCTGTAGAGGGAAAAGTATCTGCCTTTGCAACCTGCTTTCTCCAGCAGCTTGATGAATGAAAGCAACGGTCTCTGTGTACTATTGTCCACACTCTCAAAAGACAAGTTCCTTAGCTCCTTCTCTTGCTGGCTGCCTACCATCCTTAGCTTTGTTACCTTTGGCTTCAGCCAGTGTAAACTCAACATTATGTATGCCACAAAAAACGAAGAGGCTTTTAAGGGAGGTGGGAGGCAGCACAAGGAAGACAAAGGAGAAAATAGGGTAGACGAGAGGGAATGATGGGTTAAAGAGGTGTAACCTCTCCCTTCCAATATGCCGCAGCTCTGACAAAGGGTCATGGACCCACAAGGTTGACGCACTTTCCTTTCTCCATAGATGCTGCCTGACCTGCTGCGTGTTCCCAGCGACTTCTGTTTTTGTTTCAGATTTCCAGCATCTGCAGTATTTTGGATTTTGATTATGTATGTGATACAGTTACAAACCACACTTGTTGGTTTCAAGTTCACCGACTTGTAGGAGAAGTTGGGTATCACTCACATTATGCAGGTGGACCCTGTTATAAGACAGGCTCCACTTGCACAATGTGGAAGCTGGGAGGGTGTATAAAATCACATCCCATGTTATTACGGACTGTACAATCAGAGTCTGACTGTATGCCTACAAAACACACAGTCATTGGACCTTCCAGCATATCCTTCAATGCGAAGCTATGTGGTGTTAACTGTTTGAACTGTGGCAGTTGACCCAATGCACATGCTGGGGTCCACCAAGCCTGGGCTCTTGCCAGCCTGCGTCTAATACTCTCTGTAATTAGGCAAGCAGAGTGCGTCCCTCTAGGGAAAGAGCGCACACTCCATTTCCATAAACACAGGAATTTCCATGTGTCGGTGTGATGCACAGAACTCAGGTGGAGTCTCAATCTTAAGCATGGTGATGGGTTTCCACACGTGCCAGATGCCCGGCTGACCGAAACTAAAGTGAATCCTTTGAAGAATGTGGTAGCCATTGAACCCATGTGGTACCATGTGGAGTCCTATAGTGTAGCGATGCGCACGCTCACCTTGCAAGCGAGAGGACCCCGAATTACCTGTGTCTGAGGTGTACTGAACCCTTTCTTATGACTTATCTGTTTATCTGTTGAAATGATCCCACATCCCACACTCTCCTGAGGGTGTTTGACTTATTTTGCCTTTCAATGCAACGCATTGCCATGGGCACCATACAGCTTTCTGGGACCTTATCCAAGGCTTAGTGAGAATGGGAGATGCTGGACAAAATCTATGAAGAAATGCTGTAAAATAAATCCAAGCATGGAATTTGACTGTAATCCCAAGGATGAAAAATACCTCCTCTGTGACCAACGTAAACTAACACCTTTAACAAAGATGGTGTCAGACGTTGGGCGATGAGAGAAGGAGGAGAGGAGGGAAGTTGCTGGTGGTAGGGTTGAGGTGGAAGGATTTAAAGCGAGACTTAATAAAAATAATATTCTGACTTCTTCCTCTTTTATATTGGTGATTTGGACTCTAGGCCCTCTGACTCTGAGCAATTGAAATAGCCTCCATGAATTTACCCTATTAAATTTATCCTACCTTCCTTTAATAATTAATTATCCTTGTATTTAACCTTTTAAGTTCACCTCTATTTATTTTATTAAATTTTTCCTCTCCATTTACTCTGTTATATTTACTTTTCCATTTTCTTTCCCTTTCCATTAACCCTATTCAATTCATCACTCTATTTACCTTATTAAATTTATCTTTCTAGTTACTCAATTAAATGCACTTCTCTATTTGCCCTTTCAAAACCTTATTTTGAGTGGGTTAAGTTACTGTGATTAACAAATTATCCACAAACGATGATAAGAGAATATCATACTAACGGTTTGGTGGGAACTAAACAATATTAGTGGAAGAGATATATTCAGACAATCAGTCTTGAGAGAAGACATCTGACTCAGAGGGAAATTTATATAGAAGTGTATAAAATTTCAAATGGGATTGAAAACGTAAACCCAGAACAATAATTTAGGATGCAACAACAGTAGAACAGCATAGGTTTACAGTTGTAAAGGGCAATTTCAGGACAGACACCAGGAAGTTTTTTCTTTACTCAGAAGGTAATTAATGATTAGATAATAATTAATAATCAGCATTAAGGAGAGTCATATAAGGATGGTAACAAAGGAAAGATATGGTCTGAGACCTTCTGTGAACTATCAGTAAAAAAGAGTAATGTTTGCAATTGATAAAGCACGTTTAATGATAGGAAGACTTCTCAAAGTGCCTCACAGGAGTGAAGTGACCGTGTATTTTGTAGCTGAATACGGAAGCCAATTCGAACATGGTAATAATATCCCACAAACAGCCATAACGTGAATATGTGGGGGATTGTTAGCCAAGACATCAGAAGAAACTTCCCTCTCTTTTTGATTAGTGTCACTCAATTTTTAAAGTCCACCTGAACAGGCAGACAGGACCTCAGTTTTAATAACTCATTTGAAGGAGGGACGAATAGTGTTCCCCCAGAACTGCACTGCAGTGTCAGCCTTGAGGATGGCAGAAGTCTTAACAGAGCTTGAACCCACACATCTTCTGACCAAGAGGCGAGAGTGCTACCAACTGAGACAGGCTGAGACCTAAATAATAATAATCCTTGCATTTGATATAGCACTTTATCATGTTATTGAGACATCACAAAGTGCTTCATGGAATATACTGTACAGTGGATTGACTCTATATTTTGTGGGCAAAACGTGGCAGCCAATTTGACAATTTGTGCACAGCAGTGTCCGACAAACATTTGTGGATTAAGTGACCAGATTTTTTTTTGATGGATTATAACCTTAGGAAAGCGAACCGGCAATCGACTAACCGACTGGGTTGCTATTTACTATTTTGTGAACAGATTGAGATATTAAAGAGATCATCTGAATAGACTGAATACACTCCACTCCAAAACAGTTACAAAAGTACCCCTATGTTTTTCACCGTGCACTGCATATCCTATTCCATGCTTTAAACGGGGATGAATGAACGGTTGCCATAGTTTCCCAAAAGCGAACAGATGCAGCTCATAAAGCAACATGATATTGGAGTCAATGTTGATTAAATCATAAGGGGAGACAGGACAACATTATTAACAGGCTTGGTTAAGCCAGACGGTCAGTATGCTCAGACTCCCACTGTGTCTCTGTGCTCATTGCACAGTATGAGCCCAGCTTAAAGGTGCTTTTTTCCATCAACACAAATTCAAATTACCATAGCGCTGTTCTGCTAACTCGGGTGTCAGCCTGGCTCAGTTGACAGCACAGTTAAGGTCAAGCCCCACGCTGGAACTTTGAACTCATTCCAGTGTAGATGAGAGTGCTACCAACTGAACCAGACTGATGCCAGAATGTAAGATAATGTCTCAATGTGCTTCACATTGACAGCGCAGAAACCAGGGCGGTGGGGAGACGGGGTGTTGGTGGTGGTGGATGAGAGAGGAAGGTAGGTAGGAAGGTATGGAGTTAACTATCTTGTAGGAGTCCCGTAGCATAGTGGTTTGTGCGCTCGCCTCGCAAACAAGAGGTCCCGGGTTTGGTTCTCTGGCAGGGCGAAGCCTTAGGCAAGTTTTCTTACTCCACACACCTCTGTTTACTTAGTAGTAAGTAGGGACCAGGTTGATAGTTGCTTTCCGAGGGCAATAATCCCTCCAAAACAAAACTGGTCACGGATCCACGACTGTTTGGATTGCACAGTCAATTCACGTTACAATATATTCCGTGAAGCGCTTAAAGCTATCTCAACAACGTGATAAGGTGTATATCAAATGCAAGGATTATTATTATCATGAGGTGGTGACCAAGTGCACAGTCAAATAAGCGGGTTTTAGAAGTGTTGAAAACAAGGAGAATCGGTGTGAGGTGGAGAGGTTTGGGGAGGAAGTTCCAGTGATCAGGGAGTGGACGGAAGCTTGGCTGCCAGTGTTGGGAATGGGGAGTCGGGTAGGTGGAGGGG